AAGATCTGTTTAAAAGGAATATATGATTAGACATTATTTGCATGACAACAGTTCAGAATAAGAGTTGCATAGTGAAGTGGACTGGGGTGGGAGAAGGGAGGAAATTATGCAACAATGAATGATTTTTTTTAAAGCAAATTGAGGGAGAGGATAGGAAGGAAAAATGTGTAACAATGAATGCATGAAAACCCAAAATCCAAAATCCAAAATCTGTAAACTTTCTTTAAAATCACAAGAAAAATTATTTTTAAAACAACAACCCAACAAGAGAATACAAAGTCTTTCTCCCTCCTTTCATCTACAAACCTCCACTTAGAGATCACCTTCTCCCAAAAGTTGCTTCCTTTCAGCTTTCTCTATAAACCATAAACTATAGATTACTTATGTAACTTACTGCTTTTAAATTTTTCTATCTTTCTACCTACTTTTCCCCAGATATACCTCTATTTTATTTTCTAAAAATTTAGTTTCTGTTTCTTTGCCAGCTTTCTTGTCTCCCTTTTATAGATTTTGTCATTAATATTTCCAAAAAAGAAAGTAACCAAGAAATAAAGTTTAAAAAAGTACAAGGACTCCTGGATCAAAACTAATTCACATTTAACTAAGAAGTCTGTTTGAGGTCTCTTAATCTTTCCTTCTCTCCGCTTTTCAGTCTCCTCAGGTGTGTTTTTTCATCTAATATTCAGGAACTTTTAGCTGTACTTTGAGGGAGGAAGGGAGAGAGGAGAACCTCCTATACCTTGTTTTCCTCCCTAAAGTTTTAACTGAATAATCTCTCCTTCCACTAAGCAGGTGGGAAGCAAAATTTTACTCATAAATGAGTTCCAAATACCTTTCCTTCTTCATACCCTCTTTCCTTCGTTCTGCTTTCCTTAGAGAAGACCTTGTATGCTAGTTACTGTAAAAGCTTGTATGACCTACAGAGGTTGAATGCAAATGAATCAAGGACTTTGCTGGAAATTTGAGACTCAAACACTTTTCCACTGGATCTGGAACTGGCTTTGGAGAATAGAACTCGGAGCAGCCTGAGTGGCTGCCCTATGGAGGATGAGAATGGATTTAACCTAGAAAATGAGAGGAGGGATTTCCAGTGATAGTTCAAGCCAATTTTGAAGCCATATCTCCCATAATACTCAATTCCATGAGTCACTAATGTGAGAAGCATAAATGTAGGAAAACAGGACATTGTAAAGAAAGAAATGGAACATACAAATATTGACATATTGGGTATTAGCGAAATGAGATGGATTGACATGAGACATTGAATCTCACAATCATATAATCTATCATGTTAGAGATGAAAAGGTGAGGAAAAATTGGATCACTTTCATAGTTAAAAAGGCTGTTTCTAGATCCATCTTGAAATACAATATTGGGAGTGGCAGGATAATATCAATATGCATTCAAGAAAGACTTGTTAATACCACTATCGTTCAAATTTGTGCACCTACAGCCAGAGCCAAAGAGGAGGAAATAGAGATTTCTATCAACTGTTGCAGTCAGAAATTGATCAAACATGTAACCAAGATGCATTAATAATAATGGGTGAATGGAATGCAAAAGTTGGGAATCAGAAAGAAAAATCAGTAGTTGGAAAATATGGACTTGGTGACAGAAATGAGGCTGGGATAGAATGATAGAATTCTGTACAATCAGTGATTTATTCATAGGAAATACCTTTTATAAGAAACATAAACATAGGTTATACACATGGATTTCACCTAATGGGTTGCACAGGAATCAGATGGATTACATCTGTGGAAGGAACCACTGGAGAAGTCTATATCAGCAGTGAAAACTAGGCCAGGTGCTGATTGTGGAACAGACCATCAACTGCTCATATGAAAGTTCAAATTAAAACTAAAGAAGGTTAAATCATATCCACAAGCATAAAAATTTGATCTTAAGTCTATCTCCATGAATTTAAAAACCAACTCAGGAATAGGTTTGAGACCTTGAACACTAAAGAATGAAGACCGGAGAAGCTGTGGGAAGATATTGAGAATATTGTTCAGCACCACAACAAGATAAAGGTAAACAACCCAATTAAAAAATGGACACAGCATATGAACAGACACTTCACCAAAGAAGACATTCAGATGGCCAACAAACACATGAGGAAATGTTCAAAATCCGTAGCTCTAAGCGAGATGCAAATCAAAACAACTATGAGATATCATCTCACCCTAGTAAGAATAGCAAAATTCAACAGAGCAGCAAACAACAAATGCTGGCAGGGTTGTGGAGAAACTGGAATCCTTATTCACTGTTGATGTGAGTATAAAATGATTCAACCACTATGGAAGGCAGTATGGCACTTTCTCAAAAAGTTGTAAATAGAAATACCATCTGACCCAGCAATTCCATTACTGGAAATATACCCTAAAGAAACCATAACTGCCACCTAGGCAGATATATGCACACCCATGTTCATTGCTGCTTTGTTTACAATAGCAAAGAGTTGGAAACAACCAAATGCCCATCAGCAAATGCATGAATAGAGAAGCTGTGGTACATTCACACAATGGAATACTATGCTGCATTGAATTATGATGAATTATTTTACAAAATCGGTGATCCTGGAGGACATTATGCTGAGTGAAATATCTTAGTCAAAAAAGACAAATATGGCATAATACCATTGTTATAAAATAGGACTGACATGGGGGTTGGGGGGGAACTAAGAAAAGAGGGGATTAATAATCTGCAAGGCATTGAAACATATGGGGGAGAGAACTGTATAAAAGGAATATATGATTAGGTATTATTGGCATGACCAGAGTCCAGACTAAGAGCTGCATAGTAAAGTGGTGGGGCGGGGGAGGAGGGGAGAGACTGTATAACAATGGAAGAACTTTTTTCCCCAAGAAAAAAGTGATCTGAGGGGGAAGGGGTCAGGGAGGAAAATGTGCAACAATGTATGATTGGAAACCCAAGTTCTTTATAAACTTTAATTAAAATCTCAATTTAAAAAAAAGAATATTGTTCATGAAGAATGCAAAAAAGTCATTACAAAGAAAGAAGAAGAAGACCAAAATGGATATCAGAAGAAATTCTGAATATTGCACTAGAGTGCTGAGAAGCCAAAGCAAAGGGAAGAAATCAAGAAGTTAAGGAGCTGAATAGAAGAAGATTTCAAAGTGCCGCTTGGAAAGACAAGGTAAAATATTATAATGAAATGTGCAAGGAGTTGGAGTCAGAAAATCAAAAGGACCAAACTTGCTCAGCATTTCTTCTGCTGAAAGAACTGAAAAATAAACTCAAGCCATGAGTTGCAATGCTTAAGGATGCTATGGGCAGAATATTGAATGATTCAGGAATCATTAGAAGAAGATGGAAGGAGTATACAGAGTCATTGTACCAAAAAGAATTGGCTGACACAGAAGAATTTCAAGAAACAACCTATGATCAAGAGGCAATGGTGATGAAGGAGAAAGTGCAGGCTGCATTGAAGAACTTGGCAAAAAAATAAAGCCCCAGGTATTGATGGAATACCAATTGACATATTTCAGCAAACAGATGCTGTCCCACATGTGCTCACCAAGTTGTGCCAAGAAATCTGAAGGACAACTACTTGGCCAACTGACTGGGTGAGATCCCTATTTATTCCCATTCTAAAAAGAGGTGCCCCGATAGAGTATGGAAATTATTGAACAATATCACTGATATCACACACTAGTAAAATACTGCTAAAGATTATCCAGAATAGACTTGAACAGTACATTGACAGATAACGACCAGAAATACAAGCTGGGTTTAGAAGATATTGTGGCACTAGGGACATTATTGTCAATGTCAGATGTATCTTTGCAGAGAGCAGAGAGTACCAGAAGAATGTCTATCTGTGTTTCACTGACTATGCAAAAGCATTTGACTTTGTAGATCACAATAAATTGTGACTAACCTTGAGGAAAATGGGAATCTCAGAACACTTGATTGTTCTTATATGAAACCTATACTTGGACCAAGAAGCAGTCCTCAGAACAGAGCAAGGAAACACTGCATGGTTCAAAATCAGGAAAGGAGTGCATCAGGGATGCATCCTGTCCCCTACCTTTTAAATCTGTATGCAGAGCAGATCATTCAGGAAGCAGGGCTTTATGTGGAGGAGTGTGGCATCAAGATTGGAGGAAGA